AAACTCTGACAAAAAAACTCAGCTAAGATCTTTCTCAAATCACGTTTCTCGAAACAAACTCAGGCAAATCTCAGCTAAGTTTATTTTTTTCTCAACTGAGATTTTTTCAACGTCGCATAAGCGGCCTTGTTCTTGACTTCCGGTTATAGTATCCAATGTAAATCATCGTCTGCAACACCACAAAGCGCCAAAATAATGGAAGAGAAGACGTGTAAGACACCCCGCCGGCCCAATTGGACGGAAAAAGAAAAAATCGTCTTGGTTGAGGCGGTCCGTCAACGCGAGGACCGCCTTTTTGGGAAGATGAAGGGGCCGGGGGGTGTCAAAAACGTAAAAATCAAAGAGGGGGCTTGGGAGGAGGTCGCAGGGGCGGTGAATGCGTAAGTATCAGCACTTATGTATGAATAACAATCGTATACATCTACATTCATAATCAATAGATCTATATCACTCGAAGTTTCTTATATACGACGCGTGATAAAGAACACGAAGTTACCCTCATACTGTTTGCTAAAATTAGAAAGGGGAATTCCAAATCATGTATACTTGTTTTGAAAATTAAATCAAATACACACATCGATGTATTCAATTTATTTATAGATTCACCAAACATGTTGGCATCAACCATGCTACAAAAGTGATGTTTTCACTCTTTACTAAGACAAATACCAGGGCCAAATTAAGAGGACTGTACAATTAGCTCTACAGTTCTTTAGCTAAAGATAAATAATATCTTCAGACTTTAGTAAAGATGCAGTGTCCAATCAGCAGTGAATCATAAATATATATCCGGTATGAAAATGACAATTCCAGTTTGATCAACATGATTGATCGAGTCATGACACAAATTTGTACAAGCCAAAAAAAATGGAGTGGGGTGGGGATGGGTGAAGTCATCAGGGAGAACAAGCATATATTCACTTGTTTTCTGTTACATATAATAACAAAAAGTGTTGAGAGATAAGGAGGGAACAATTATAAAATGTCTTTTTTTTTAATTGTAACAAATTTCTTTTTTTTAATTGTAACAAAATTAAATATTTGCCCCCTTGCAAAGTCTAAAACTTCATGTAACAAAAACAAATTCCCAGAAAATAAAAAAAAAAAGTGTTGGTTGTCAGAACAACCAGTAATTGTTTCACATTATTATTTGATGCAGCACTTATCAATTATGATCAAGCATGCAGTCATTGCAGTACTACATTTAAATCTTTAAATATTTCAGAAACTCTGATACAACTCAACGCACGGTGGACGAGATCAAGAAACAATATGCCAACATAAAGCAAAGAGGTAATTTTTATTTAAGTACAGGGCTATATATTGATTTATTCAACATCATACATAAAACACCATATTATTATAAAGTTTTAAATGTCTTCAAATGACCAAAAAAATTAAAAAGTTATGTGATAGAGTTGTTTGATTTCATAAATGCATTTATAGAAGTAAATTCATTTGTATAATCCAATATTAATTGTGCTACAAGTAGGTCAGAAAAGGGCAAGCAAAAGATGGCTTGGTCATGTGCACATATTCACATATATTATTTTTGGACATGTATTTTTTAAATGAAATAATTTAACATGAATGATAGAAATAACTGATATAATAAGCTTTTCCGTGGCCTAAAATAAAAAAAAAATTAAGTTGACAGTAACTGAGACATGTGGACTGGAAAATATGATAGAATATACATTGTGTACTTAATGTTTTATGACAGCAAAAGAGAAGTCTGATGCCATTAGAAGACCAGTTACAGGTGGGGGCCCCAAACCTCCCTCCCCAACCCCTGTAGAAGCTGAGCTACTAAGCCACCTTGAAGACAGGCCAACCCTAATGTGGTCTGTCCACTGGACACGACACGGAGGAAGGTTCATATTGGATTTATTTGAAAAGCAAGATAATAGGACTGGTAGTATCTAAAAATACCCTGATGATTTATATTTTTTAATTCAAAAGACAATAAATTTCATTTTTAACCTCACTGGAATATAACAAATGTACCCGGTAGATTTTAAAATACTGTGCAGTGTTAATCGTTGAAGTACATATATGTATAAATGCACTAATTTATAACCATAAAATCATTAATTTACATGATTATATACATATGTACTACTTTATTTTAAAACTGTAATAACATAGTGTCAATGTAACATGTTATTTTTTTTTAGTAATTCTAACAGTTGTACCAGAGGAAATGCACACCATGACAAACGACTGCATGCCGTCAACAAGTGCAAGTGGTACAGGTAAGGCTTACCTTATGTCTCAATTATATTATTGTGCAACCTTTCAACTCTAAAAAGAATGATTTAAAAATGCATTCTGTCAACAAAAGATGAAATTTAGCTTTTCTGATCACATTTTCTTCGGCATCCGGACGTCTGTCAGTCTGTAAAATTTTCACATTTCTGACTTCTTCTCTAGAACCACTGGGCCAATTTCAACCAAATTTGCCACAAGGCATTCTTGGGTAAAGGGATTCAAGTTTGTCCAAATGAAGGGCTACGGCCTCATTCAAAGGGAGATAATTCAGAAATAGTGAAAATTTGGTGGCATGTTTAAAAATCCTCCTCTCAAGAACCACTGTGCCAGGAAAGATTAAACTTATGGGGAAGCATTCTCAAGTACATGTAGTGTACATTCAAGTTTGTTCAAATCATGATCCCCGAGAGAAGGGCAGGGCCACAATAGCCAATCAAAGTTTTACATAGAAATATATAGGAAAATTCTTTAAAAATCTTCTTTTCAAGAAAAGTCCTTTATATTTATATGGAAGCATTCTCAGGTAGTGTAGATTCAAGTTTGTGCAATCATACCCTCTCTCCTTTAAGGAATTGTTGGGACTCTTTGAGGTTAAACTTTTCAATAATAAATTAATTTCTGCTTTTTCCTAGCCATAGTGCTCAGGTGAGCGATGTGGCACATGGGCCTCTTGTATATGCTATTCAATTCTGTTAATTAAATTTAGGTGTATCAGCCATCTACGAGATACAGAATGATGCAACCCAGCTAGGTATTGTAAATTTGGAGCTTCCTCCTTCATTCTCCTCGGCAAAGACATCAAAAAGAAGGAAGACTATGGAAGAGGATGAAATCATGACAATGAGGGCAGAAAGAGAAAAATATATCCAGGAAAGCAAGAAGTTTAAAGAAGAAGCTGAGTTTTATCGAGTCAATACCATGTACGTAAAAATGAAAATGAAAGAATTGCACGCCGGAAAAGATTCTGAAATGTAATTTAGTTAATTCCATTAGTTTGTCATTTGTTAAGGCCGAAAAAATAATAGTCTTGTTTGCTGCTACCCGACTTACCCTAATTTTTTTGCACCTGATCCTAAATTTTTTCTTTAGATTTAAAAGAATAAATCAGAATATTATCATTCTGACACTGTAACTGGTTTCCCTGTTAACACAGAACAAGCATTTCATGAAATTCTGTTTTAAATCATCGTCGGAAACCCACGGTCTGTCTCGCTTTTCTTACGGTCTCGGTAAGAGAAGCAAGACCGACCTTAGGTTTCCAACGATGGAATTAAATATGGACTTTCATAAAATACATGATATTAACATCTTGGGTAGCCAATGGAGAGGGCTTATATAGGCTGTGCCTGCTGCCCAATCCTTCTATGTATTTCTTACATAATAAAATATGTTCAAATCAAAATGGGTAGCCGAAAAGGTTCCAAAGACGTACTTAGTGCACTCATTCTTTAATTTTAAGAGACAAAATTGACACGTGACATTTTTAATTAGATACTGTATACAGGGGTATTTTCGCCCCGTTTAATTTTCACCCTTTTACACTTGGAAACAATTTTGTTCCGTTTTAAATTAGCCCATTCATAGTTACTTACAGAAATTATATGTATTATTTCATTTCGCCCTGTTTTAAATTCGCAGGAAACGAGACTATTATTTTTTTTTGCTTTACATGCAAGGTGAAGTTGTCAGTCCCTCTTTCAGGCCAACAGTAAAAAAGATTTGCTTGATGTACTCCAATTAAGAACTCAAAATTTTATTGTACATTTAATTCTAATTGCAAGTGAACAAGTACCTGACTTTAAATATTTATTGCTGATGAGTGATAATTTAATGGTACAATTTACCAAGAATTACTGGATACATTTGTATTTCTAATAAATCTATGTCATCCATTGCCTTTGAAATATGCACTAATACATGTATCAGTGCTTTGTTTGAAGACTAGATTTTTCATGTACATATGTTATTATTTATAAATTTGGATATTGTTGTACCAAACATTTGAGAAATTTAATGAAATGAGAAATTTAATGAAATTTCAATTATTTTCTGAAATAAGAATGAACAAATAATTGTTGCTATTAAAAACTGGTGCATTTATTTATTCATATGTATGACAAACTTTCATTTGAGAAAAAAATGACAATATAAACTATTGAAGACTGAAGTTATTTTGAAATAATGACAATGGCAGCATATCATATGAAACAAATATTGTTATATTAATTAAAGTTATCATTAATGCCTGTGTGTAAATCCAAACCACTGTATGTAAATATTTTGAACCCACATTTTAGCCAAATTAATACATCTACATGTATTCCTTAACAATACCTGCTAGTTTTTCCTATGCAATACAAAAAGACATTTTTTCTTCCTGATATTAAAGTCAAAAGAATATTGCAATAAATTTAACAGAAAATTACATCTTGCAGAAATTATACATATTGATTAATTCTTTAATATGTACATGTGATATTTTATTTCATTACATCAAAGTGAAAGTTCTGTGATAAATGTGTTCAGCTTCCATGTGGATTTTTGTAAAATTATTTTACACATTACAATGATTTTAAGGAAGGTCTGAACACTAATAATTTTTTTTTTGGAATAAAAAAAAAACAGCGCAATGTATTACAGTATATTAAGGTGTAAATACTGAGTTCATCATGTTCAGTTTCAGTACAGATATTAAATATGATCTTATAAACCATTATATAATTAGTTATTTGTGTTTCTTTTTCTTTTCTTTTTTTTTTTTGATTTCTGGTATATCATATTACTTGTAATTTTTAAGCAGTACAAAAATATTTTAGTAGTGTTTCATCATTGTACTGAAAATTGTTACTTAAATCTATATTACAATGGCATATAATAAATTTATTTTTACCACTTATAACTTAAAAAAGGTTGTAAAGCATACATAATGAAAAGCAAGATGTATTTGTTTGACACTGATGCTCCCTGTATGACAACTTTTGTAAAAGGTCAAAGTCCAAGGTTTAGGCCAAGAGTAAAAATATTTTAAAACAAGATGAGTTTGTGAAACTCTGATGCCCCCGTATGGCAAACTGTAGCAAAGGTTAAACTTTCTCAAATGGAAATTGGATATTTTGGTACTCAAAGTAGTAAAGGTCTTCTCACAAGAAATACTTGTGAAATATGAAAGCCCTAGCATCATTTATTCAAAAGTTATGGCCAAGGTTAAAGTTTTTTTAGAGGTAGGTCAAACTTCAAGGTCAAGATCAAATCTTAGTAGTTGATATCTAAAGAAAGGTCTTGTCATAAGAATTACATATAAGAAGTGTGAAAACCCCAGCTCTAACCATTAAAAAAGTTATGGCCGAGGTTCAAGTTTTTTTATCAAGTGGGCCAAACTCCAAAATCTAGGTCAATAGGTCAAATTTGTTGGTACTCAAAGATTGGTCCCATTCACAAGGAATACACAGGAAATATGAAAAATACAGCTTCAACCAATTGAAAATTATGAGAGAGGTTAAAGTTTTGGCGGACAAATAGACAGACAGATGGACAGGCAGGGCAAAATCTATATGCCCCTGAGTCTTTGATTACTAGTACATGGGCATAATAAATTATGCATATCTGCATTTACATGCTATTCAAACCATGTTTTCTTTGCTAGTCTATGAGTATGATGATTTCTAGACTCTATACAAAATCAAATGTTAATGTTGTCTATGTATAATGATTACTGTACAAGGGATACAGTTGTTACATAATACTTTATGCAAAAAAAGACCTGCATATGTAATTTCTAACATCTTTGCCGTCCCACTGATCCCTTACATTAAGATTAACATCCCCCTGGTTGACATATACACCATCATCAATATCCAGTATGTCATTACGATCAATTCCAATGTTGTGTAAAACTGCACATGCCAAAGTAATATCGCATGCCTTTTCAGGAGTTGTTCTCAAACCGCTATGGAGGCACGCAAACCTCTTCTTCAAGATTCCAAATGTTTGCTCAATTACAACTCTGGTTTTAGCGTGAGCGTTGTTGAATCTTGCTTCTGCATCATTAGAAGGAACAGGGTATGGTGTCATAAGGTGGGGTTTGCACGGGTATCCAGAGTCCCCCAAGAGTAGTCCTGGATACTGTCCTTAAATATTAAAAAAGAGTTTAAGATTATACTTGAAAGTACTAATATCATTCACATTTGTACCCCCTCCCTCTTTCTAATAAAACTTTGGGGAAAATAGCACTCTAATTTCTGAGGGAACTCAACAAAAGTGCAACAATTGCTAGTGGATGATTTTCCAAAAGGTAGTGATCCCAGGCAATCAATGTCAGTCGCATCACGCTTTTATAGAATTATGTAGAATTTACTGCTGTCGAAAAATGGGATTTCTTTTCATAAACATGGATTGATTTAATACAATAGTTATTTAACTTATAAATTAACAAAACTTTACAAATGGAGTACCATTTTCAAAGGCAATGCTTATATGACTGTCTCGGAAAATCCGGCTGTCATGTACACTTCCGGGCCACTTGGCAACACAGTTCAAAATCCGGAATTTACCATCGGAGATCATCTGATATTTATACAAATACATGTACTAGTAACTGAATATATTATTAGAGAGTGATTTTTAATTTTTTTTGTGAATAGAACTACAGAAAATCTCTTAAAAATTTAATTTTACGATCAGTTTATGGCCATTGCAAATAATTTATACTTCATAACAAATTACCTGTACATTCAGAGAATGGTACCCTTTTCTGTTCAAATAATCTGGCTCATTCTCTGAAGGTGCCTGAATTTTGATGAAGGTACCATCAACGCAACCGAGGACATTTGGAAAACCTAGGACCATGAAATAAGTAAAATGAAAAATATTCAAGCATGTTGCAACTTTACAATGGAAAATAACCATCTTCTGTCTCGTAATTTACCGCTATTTTGGCTTTAAATTATTTTTGTTTTGTTTTTTAATTTTGTTTGTTTGATGATTTTGATATTGAGGTAGTGCCCCCCTTCTCTCTCTCTCTCTCTCTCTCTCTCTCTCTCTCTCTCTCTCTCTCTCTCTCTCTCTCTCTCTCTCTCTCTCTCTCTCTCTCTGTATTTTTCTTAAGTTGATAATCCAAATATTGAAAATATTTTTCTATTACATTTATTACTTTCTAATATAATTTGACTTTTCTGTTAATTGCACTTCTTACATGTAATTCAAACGCCTTTCAAAGTATATCGAAAATTTTAAACAATATCCAATTTATTTGCATATACCGACTCAACATGTAAATAACAGACAAGTTTAAAGTCAATTTAACCATATATCCCAGATATATATATATATATATATATATATATATATATATATATATATATATATATATATATATATATATATATATATCAAATTAAAAATCGGCGAAATCTTTAATTTGAATGTATCTTACATATAATATCATGTACATACAATTAAATTTATTCTCTATCTCGTAATATGATCAACTCAAATACGCCATTACTTTAATTAAAAAAGTGAAGAGAATTTAACTTCTTAAAATTAGGAGATTTCCCAGTCAATTGCACCCATTTTTTGTTCAATATAGACAGGATTAAACTTTTTCTTACGTTTAGAGAATTGCCATATAGACATAGGTATATACATGTAAATATTGAACATTGTCTATACTTCTAAACGAAAGAATAAGTACAGTCTGCTTGTTCGGAATAACATATGGGTGTGACTAATGGGAAAATATAATGTATTTGAGAAATTATAAGTTCTTATGCTTTCTTAAAATTCAGTAGTAATGTTTGAGGGGGAGGGGGGAGGGGGTTCCACACTTCAGGTGCCCATGAACCCCCTTTCCCATTAATGTTTTGGAACAATTATATGTACATGAAGGTGTAAATAAACTTCATAATAAAGACATTCCATTTCTTTTCCTTTCTGTTATTTTTTTTCTTTCAAGTATCTGTTGCAACAAAATGTAAGAAGCATGTAAAATCAAAATACGATTGATTCGAAGGATTTATGGTACAATTTAACTTGCACCCATTTGTTCTGTGATTACTTCCCTTGTTTTGTTGTTTACCTGCTATGGAATAGAAATGCTTTTTAACTTCATCAGCTGCGTTTCTTGCCGGCATCCTTATAAATTGTCTCGACACCTGACACAAACCATGGCACACATCCTTAACCGCCCTGCACACAGTGGATGGGGACAGGCTGTCAAATGTATCGGCAACTAAAGAATAAAAACCTCCTGTGGCAAGAAATCTTAGCGTGGCCAACACTTGCAAAAGGGGGGTGAGGGCACAGCTTCGCAGAGTATCTCTCTCAAGGGATTGTCTAAGTAGATTCACTATAGACAAAATTGTGGCCGGGCGGAAACGGTATCTTTTGAAAATATCCTCCTCTGGCATTAATTCTAAAGGGTTTTCACGGTCAACAAGCCTGTTGTGTGCGACTCTCTGCCTATGCCGACGTCTACGACGCTGCCGTCTGTTTTTCACCGGCATATTTGAGATTTTATTAAAGGACTTAAGTCTACTAAGAAGGTAACTTAAGTTTAATATGAGTTTGAGTAAGAAAAAGAACTTAAGTTTTTTCGAGAAATGCAATATTTTGAGTTTTCTCAAATTTGAGATTTTTCTCAGAAATTTGAGATTTAACTTAAATCCAAGCCAGGATCGAACGTCCTTAAGGCCCTGTCACACCAAGATTTAACTTAAGATTGAAGGATACACCAGCTGTGACTCCTGAGTTATCGATCTTATTTTCCGGAAATATCCGAAATTGAGTGATTCGCATAGATGCTGACCCCAGTGCTGATGGATGGCGGGTGATTTGGGTGGGTAGACTCGCGGATCTCGGAGACCTACATGCAACCATCAGACCTGAAAGCAGTAGGCCTAGATGCACGTGACAAGCCTGGAAAGTCGGTATATTTTTCTTGTTGTAAAAATTATATTAATTATAGTTTCTTTATTAATCTAACAGTCTAGAGGTTGAAACTGGAAGAGCTAGCGGGTTTCACCTGATCATCCCGTGAGGAACAGTGTACTCTATCATATACATATCTCTGTTCACTCAAGGAAAACTTAAGGATGCGTATGCTTTAATAAATGGTAAAAAAAAAAAATCTTAACGTATCTGAAATGCAACATCCTCACAACGTCAAGGGTCCTGATCGAGTCATGAGTACACAAGAATAGATATGGGTTACCCCATATCCAAAGATATTCGACTGTTAGATTTAATATGTTTAACAGTGTTTATAATGACGTTAATAAAAAAAAACTGCACTGTCTAATTATGGAACTGTTGTAAATATCGTGATTCCACAGCATTACGGTCACCCAGTCTCCTAACAAACAGTACACATAGGCCTACATGTACCTGTAGCCTTGGTCTACACACGTGCAATGGAGCTGTCACACGCATCCAGCGAGCTCGGAGAAACACGTTTTGTTTTGCCGAGAAGTTACGGTGTCAGACAAATCTTTTCTTTTCTTAATTAGATCATATAAATACGAATTCTGATTAATAAAAATTATACAATCCCTGTTGAACTTTATATAGTTTGTTCTAACATTTGCATCTGCAACAACTTGTGTTTAAAATGGCCGGGTTGGGAAAATCAGGACCGGGTCGGAAAATTCTAAACTGAAAACATGGAAAACCTTTTTTGTTTTGAAAATAACTGAAATATACTAATATATTTGTCGCAGAAATTACTTACATTATTCAAGTTCTATATATAATGGTATGCTGAACTTCAACACGAACCCGAATCTCCAACCCATGCAGTTCTCGTTTTGCCACACATACCCTAGCTACAGTTTACAAAGTGTACACACGAGCAGGCCAGGAGTTGAAAATTCCGTCATTTAATAATACACACACACAGAATGATTAATTTTTTCTTTAAGAACAAATTGTATGATAATTAACGGACTATAAACATGTACTTAATACAATTGTTGATATAGTATTATCAATTCATTGGTGAAAAGATATGAATCGAAGAATGACCTAATTATTCTCTGTTATCAAGCACGTAAAAAAAAAAAGGCTGAGGAGGGAGCGAGCGTAGGAATATTGATATTTTTTATTTGCATTTCGGGGGGAAAGTGACTTTCTAATGATATTTTGACGTTATTTTTGATTTCTTTAACGTATGACATACACAACTTTACTCTTATCATGAACAATAATGTTGTATCTACTTATCATGATGGAATTATTTTGGTCGGACCAATATGTGTGAGCTGCCGCTGAATACAGTTATATATCTTGCAAAGATAGTATGCATTGATCGAATATATAGAAAACACGTGTGTTGACGTTTTCCAAACGAGAATACCCTTGACGTAGTAAGCATGGAAATGCAATAGATTGTTGCTAAGTTATGGGAATATAATTTTTGATGATTTTTTAAATGAATTACAATAATCATGATTAAAGTGAAATGAATTTGATAAAACTGTTGATAGATCACTTGTACGAGTTCAAGGGTTGGAACCTTGTTCTGAAACATTGGGATCCTCCATATCTGTAGCATTGGGTATCATGTCCTTGTCCATAATTAACTGGTGAAAGATCTGCTGATGGAGCTTATAGGCTTGTGTCCTCATAGACTCATAGAAAAGATTGACTTGCATTTAAAGGGATCAAGGAATGTGATATACGGTAGTTTAGGCATAGGCGCCAGAACCGGGGGGATGGGGCTAAGCCCCCCACTCTTTTTGCAAAGATAGACATAATATATAAGGCATTGAAAATTGGGGTTTACCTTATTTGTTGGTTTAGTCCCCCCACCTTTAATTTGCTTCCGACGCCTAATATGTTAGGCCTGGGTAGCTAGAGATAGCTCACACAGTTTGCCGAACGCTTGTTTTTAATAGGTTCAGGAGGTTCAGTGAAGGAATCCTCATCTTGTCTATTGTACTTCTTTTACACAACAAAATAAGGTTAAAGTGGTGTGTCAGCTTGATAGATCAATGCTTGCTGTGCCAAGAGAGAGAACTCTCAATTGTTCCTAAAACTTGGATGGTAAAATGTGAAAAGCAGTATCTACAAAATCATGTGTGAGCTAGTGTCTGAGGTGTGGTTTTCAGAGTTTGACGCTGTATTTGTTTTGTCACATGTATATATAATTATGTATTATTTTATTTCAATGAAAAAAGAAAATATTGTAGACAGTCTTAATTGAAAGAAAAATGTTATAGTATGAAAAGTAAGATTCTTTTTTTGTACATTGTACCTGCAATTAATGAATATATTACTGTAGTATTTCAGTATTTCCTTCCATTTTTATGCCCCCCTTCGAAGAAGGGAGGGCATATTGCTTTGCTGCTGTCTGTCGGTCTGTCGGTCGGTCTGTCGGTCGGTCTGTCGGTCCATTTAGTTTCCGTTCATTTTCTTCATAACCGTTGCACATACTGAAGTGAAATTTGGTACACAGGTATATCACATGAATATCTAGGTCAAGTTCTGTTTTGGGTATGATCGCACCATAATTGACAGAGTTATGCACCTTGGACTCAGAAAAATTCCAATTATTTGCAGTTTCCGCTCATTTTCTTTGGAGAGGTTGCACATATTGAATTGGAATTTAGTATACAGATTAGTCAGATGAATATCTAGGTCAAGTTCTGTTTTGGGTACGATCGCACCATAATTGACAGAGTTATGCCCCTTGGACTTAGAAAAATTCCAATTATTTGCAGTTTCCGTTCATTTTCTATTGAGAGGTTGCACATATTGAATTGGAATTTAGTATACAGATTAGTCAGATGGATATCTAGCCCAAGCTCTATTTTGGGTACGACCACACCATAATTGACAGAGTTATGCCCC